TTTTATATATATAAAAAATATATATATATTTGGGGGGGCTTACATTTTATCATCATTTTTACTTACCTGTCCATGGGTATCACCTGCAGACTTCCCCGCCTCAAACTTTAATGCCAATCCAAAGTCAGCAATGCAAGCTGTCAGATTGTTTTTCAACAGCACATTTTTACTTTTGATGTCCCTTTAAATAAAAGTTAAGTATTTTAAACAAGTTATCTCTTAAAGCTTTATTGAAAGGGAGAACATATATGCTATAAAAGAATACTTTAAACTGAAATGCAAAGTAAGCAAGAAGATGCTTAAGCAGAGCCCCTGTTTAGCCTGAAGCACATGAGTAAGGGGATAAACCCTGTTCATAACAGGAGCAAAACGGAATCCTCGCCATAAAGCAGTTTTATGAAGAACTGCCATTCTGGAAATATGTTATCAACATCATTTCTAGATGCCAATCATAAAACTACTGATTTTTTTTTAATTTTTACAAAAACTTTATTGAGAATTTCATACATGCATATAAGGTGTTTTGATCAAATCCATGCCCACTCCCTCCCCTCCAACATTCCCCCCTCTGAAGAGGTAACCCTAAAATCTTTTAAGGGTTAGATACAAGCTCCCAAATACTTTTGACATTTTTTGGCCTTTGGAACAGAGTATGTTGCTAACAGGCCCAAGGACATTTTGACTTTTAGCCAAGAAACTTGCTACATTTCTTTGGGGTCTTTTTACCCTAATGCCTAGCCAATTTCTACCTCCTATTCTTATCACACCATCCTCTGAAGGGGCTACCCAAATTGCCGATAAGGAATCAGGAGGCAGATCGCTCTGGCTTCTTCCATGCTGAACATGGACGCAGGGTGAGGCAACTGGAGTACCCCTTCAGTGGGTCTATCTAAAAGACTCCCTAATTGCATACCCCTTGTCTCTAAGGGGAAAAGAAAGTCCTTGAATCAAGAATAGGAGGTGTAAAGAAGTAAAGGCAAGAGTAATCAGGATTGCAAGTTCTAGACAGGGAACTCGAAAAAAGTCAGAAGAGGGCAATTTTCAAATGTTCATATGAGAGTCCATTGGTGACTCTTTAAGGTAATGAAAATATTTCAGAACTTTTTGTTACAGATTTCCATAGAAACTGAAACTAGAAAAACAGTTTTAAAAAATAGCTCACTTGGGGTCTTTTGCCTATTGGGCCAATCTTACATTTTAGAATGGTCCCTTACCATGGTGCTTTTTCTACCTGCTTCTCATGGAAAAGTATCAAGTTCTGACCCATAGTAAGGTAGAGGTAGATTCAAATGCTCCAGTAACCAACTGTTTTCTGTCTCAAAACATATTCAGGGTCCCTATTCCTAAAGACCTTCGGAAGCTATGAAGATTAGCTGCCATGTAGTAACAGAAGGCGGGCTGCATACAGGAAGATGAGAAGGTCCCTTCCTCAGTAAGTCAGTTAGCATTTGCAAATCAGAATCTAGTGGACACCCAACTAAGTACTTGGTAAATGAACAGTTAATGCCTACTATTAAAATGGCTATTTTTAAATTGAATATAAGACAACAGCTCGAATTTCATGGCAAAATGAATCTTATTTTCCAGAAACAAACACTTCCTTTTCCAGGTGTGAAAACTGCTGAGTCTAGGTACTTCTTCACTGCACAGCTGCCTGGATGTCTCCTGCCCGAGCTCAAGGAATGAACATATCATTCAAGAATTAAAGAAAATACTCAGTCTTGCCTTAATTCCATTACCTTGTGTCTATTTATAATTACCTTTAAGCAAATCATATTATGATTCGAAATCATTTTTCCTTTTAGATGAAGAAAATAAACTCTCATTCTCAAACATAGTTTCAGAAATGAGACAAATTAGAGCATAAGGAGATAATAAAAATTTACTAATAAGGTTAGCATGTATATTACCCAAAACTCTTCTTAGCCAATCATAAACCTAATTTATAAAACATGGAAATCTTTGCCTTTTCAAATATGATTGGATAAGAGGACAAAAATCAATTTTACCTGAAGAGCAAAAAGTTTAAATAATAAACATATATAAGTCATCTGGGAAAACAATATAAATCTTGTTCTACCTGTGAGATATTGCAGGCTTGTGGCCATCTTTTAAGCCAGGTATATCCTCATGTAAATATGCCAATCCTCTAGCCATGGTTTCTGCAATATGACAGAGTTCATTCCAAGAGACCACATTAGCCTTAAGAAAGTCTGAGAGTGAACCCTAAAGAAAGAAGGGGAAAAATAAAAGAAACCCGTAAGTTCCTGACAAAATCTGTAAGTAAATGAAGTCTTTTCTTTGTACTACAGGAGATTGTGGAAGGCAAAAAATATCTTTCCTTTCAGTGCATAATTTCCAAAAAGCAGTCTTTAGAGTGGCTCATATTTCCTTCCAATTCACATTAATGAACATCCAATCACTAAGGACTGATCTTTAAAGTATTCTTACAAAAACAATCTCTCCCCTTTTAGAAGGTCAAAAAAAAAAAAAAAAGGGACTAGGATAAAATATTAGTAAAAACTCTTAAAAGTGAAAAATATGCTGATATCATAGGACTATATTTAAAACATAATAACTAATATAAAGAATCTTCCTGGGGTGGGGGAGATGGTTTAGTCAGTAAAAGAGCCTGCGATGCAAGCACAAGGACCTGAGTACAGATTTCTAGCACCCATGTCAGTGTGGCAGCACAATTCTATAACCCAGCACTAGGAGGACACAGGCAGGCAGACAGGCAAATTCTTGGAGCTTGCTGGCCAGCCAGTATAGCCAAATTAGTGAGCAGTAGGTTCTGTGAGAGACTCTTTCTCAACAAAAATAAGATGTAAAGCAACTGAGAAAGACACTCAAACATTGACCTCTGGCTTCCACACTCACATACACCTGTGTATGTACACACATGATCTCTCTCTCTCTCTCTCTCTCTCTCTCTCTCTCTCTCTCTCTCTCTCTCTCTCACACACATACACACACACACACATACACAGAACCTTCTCTAGAGATTACCATGATCTTTATGACCAAATACTAAGTGAAGTTTTATAAAGCCACTGACACTTAACAAATATGAAACTGATTATAAAACCCAATTTCCAAGCTGGGTGTGATAGGTATGACCATAATCCCAGGACCTGGGATCCTGCTAAGACAGAAAGATCATGAGTCTGAAGCCAGCCTGGGCTACATAGGAATACCTTGTATTAAAAGACAAAACAACTATGAGAAAGCAAGCTACAAAGGTGTGGTGGCAAATGCCTTTAATCTCAGCACTCAGGAGGCAGAGGCAGTGGATCTCTGAGTTCAAGGCCAGCCTAAACTATACAGCAAGTTCCAGGCCAGTCAAGAATGCACAGGGAGACCCTGTCTCAAAAAACAAAGCAAAACAAAGCCAAACTGAAAAATGAGAGGAAAAAAGCAAATGCGGTGTTTTTAAAAAATTTATTTTTACATTATGTTTATGACTATTTTGCAGCATATATGTAAATGTACCACATGTACACAATGCCCATAAAGGCCAGAAGAGGGCTTCAGATCCCCTGGAATCAGAATTACAGAAGGTTGTTAGGTGCCTTCTTGTGCTAGGAACTAAACCTGGGTCCTCTGACAGAGCAGCCAGTGTTCTTAACTGTTAAGCCATCTCTCCAGTCCCAGCAAGTGTGTTTTGGTAATAATTCCAAGTTAGTAATAAATGATAGATCATATATACTTCTAACTCTGGGTTCATTACTAAGAGTTGAAAGGCACAAAATTCAAGAGAAAAAAAAAGGCTCTTGAAATCTAACTAGATGATAAATAACAAACGAAAATTACTAAACACTGCCTACTCTAAAGTGCCCCTAAGAGAATCACAATATAGGAAATGAGAGACAAAGTTATGCCCTATGATTAGAGGGTTAGGTGAAAATTGCTATCTTTGCTGTTCCATTAGATTTTAAAACATTTTTATTTAAGAGTGATCTATTTTTAGATTAAATATTCATCAACTATGATAACATGCTGTCTCCTGGAATATGATAGTCAACATTAGGTAAAACCCAGTTTTACTCAGCTTAAGTAGTTTTTACCTTTTCATGAAATGCTGTGATTAGCCACAGGTCCACATCAACACTGGTGCCTCGTTTTTCTGCACCAATGAACTGCAGTATGTTCTCATGCTTCATTCCAGGTAAACTATAGACTTCATATTCATTCTGCCATGACTGCTTGTCCTACAGTTAAAGTACAGCAAGAACACAAAAATACAAGGAAATAAACCACACTGAAATTATTAGAGCAAGTCTGAAAACAAAACAAAAAGCTAAGTAAAAATTGGGGCTGGAGAGATGGTTCAGTGCTTAAGAGCACTCTTGAGAGAACCTGGGTTTGATTCCCAACACTCACATGGCAGCTAGCAACCATCTATAACTCCAGTTCCAGGGGAATCCAACACCTCTTCTGATCTCTGTGGGCACTGCACAACATGGGTGTGCTTACACACACACAGGCAATACACTCATATACATAAAATTACAAAATAATAATAATTTTTTAAAGCTAAGTACAAATGATCTTCTGTTTTGTTATTTTAATTCATTTCTTAAATGCTCACAGAGGTCAAAAGAGGGCATCAGAACCACTGGAACTGGAATTACAGACAGTTAGCCACCACGTGGGTACTGGGAACAGAGCCCAGGTCCTCTGCAAGAACAGCCAGTGAACTTAAGCACTGAGCCATCTCTCCAGCTCCTTGTCAATTTTTTTAAAAAAGAAAGGTCTGACAAGTATAACAATCCATAAAAAATGCTTGCTCTACCCCAATCCCTCAGACTTGCTTTTCTGTATTGATAAGTTTACAAACACAGAAGTTCGTCAAAAACACTGCATTTTTGTATCTGAAATGGCAACACATTTTGCTTATGAGTTGCTGCAAGCACCACATAGTGTGAAGTTATTCATGGTACTATTCACAATCATCTCCCTAAAAGATGTAACTTAGGTAAAATAACCATCATAAATAGAAAACAGTTCCCAGCCCAACATCCTGTAAAGGTTAACAATACCTAATGTTCTTTAAAACTACAAATTACTCATTCATGTCTACAAATTATCTATGTCTACTATCTATCTACTAATAAAAAATTAGTTTATTTCTACTATGAAAGGGCAATGAAAGTGTGGTACACCATAAAACAATGGTTAGGAAGTTTTGGGATCTAAGTTAAGTTTAAATTCTGGCTTTTTCTCTAATTTAAATCATTCTGTTTCCACAGTGAAGTAAAAGAATAACTGCACCATCAGTCTCTAATGTTGTTGTATTACAAGTATATACTGATAATGTATGTACTCATGAAATATGTAAATCATTGCTTTGTCAGTAAAAGCATTCAATAAAATAGTTGATATTCTTGTTTCTACTCTTAATATCCAAATGCTTTAGTCTAATTTTTAAGACTCTTCACACACTGAAATAACTTCTCCTCCCTTACCTTATTCATGAGTCTCAGCACAACAGAATACATTCTCTTTCTGAATGAGTACTAGCCTTAGGATCTATACTGCTACCAAAATAAATAAGCAGAAGTAATAAATTTCTTTAGACTCTATGGAATAAACTTTAGAAGAGGGGAGAAGGTAAAACTCTAAACATATTAAGGCAAGCAAGTTGCTTAAGCGGTAACTTTGGAATAATGCAGGTTCAACGTGCAAGTATAGTATTAGAGTCTGTATCACCAAATGTAGCCAAGGTCTCAATACCAAGAATACCACTAGCCACAGGAGCATATTTGCAAGAGAAAAGGGAGGATGGAATCACCAAAATATACCATCAATGAAACAAACCAAAAAAGCAGTACAGAAGTGCATTAGGTCAGCTTTTATGAGAAGTTCAACTGCTTTTAAAAGAAAAACAAGTCAGCTCTCTGCTCCTCCTAGTTCTAGAGACAGCCGCATCTTCTCATGCAGTGCCAACCTTGTACCTGAGACATGATGGTGAAGGTTGGAGTGAACGGATTTGGCCATATCAGGTGCTTGGTCACCAGGGCTGCCTTCGACTCTGGCAAAGTGGACACTGTTGCCATCAATGACCCCTTCATTGACCTCAACTACATGGTCTACATGTTCCAGTATGATTCCACCCACTGAAAGTTCAATGGTACAGATAAGGCTGAGACTGGGAAACCTGTCATCAATGGGAAGGCCATCTCCATCTTCCAGGAGCAAGATCCTGCCAGCATCAAATGGGGTGATGCTGGTGTCGAGTATGTTGTAGAATCTACTGGGGTCTTCACTACCATGGAGAAGGCTGGGACCCACTTGAAGGGTGGAGCCAAAACAGTCATCATCTCTGCCCCTTCTGCTGATGCCCCCATGTTTGTGATGGGCGTAACCATGAAAAATATGGCAACTCACCAAGATTGTCAGCAACGCCTCCTGCACCACCAACTGCTTAGTGCCCCTGGCCAAGGTCATCCATGACACTTCATGCCATCACAGCTACTCAGAAGACTGTGGACGGCCCCTCTGGGAAACTGTGGCATGGTGGACATGGGGCTTCCCAGAACATCATCCCTACAGCCACTGACGCTACCAAGGCTATGGGCAAGGTCATCCCAGAACTAAAGAGGAAACTCAATGATATGGCCTTCCATGTTCCTATGCCCAACGTGTCTATCGGGATCTGACCTGCCACCTGGAGAAAGCTGCTAAATATGATGATACCAAGAAGGTGGTGAACCAGGCATCCAAGGACCCCTTAAAGGGCATCCTGGGCTATACTGAGGACCAGGTCGTTTCCTGCGACTTTAACAGCGATACCCACTCTTCTGCCTTTCATGCTGGGGTTGGCATTGCCCTCAACGATCACTTTGTCAAGCTCATTTCCTGGTATGACAACGAATTTGGCTACAGCAACAGGGTGGTGGACCTCATGGTCCACATGGCCCCCAAGGAGTATGAAGCTCTGACCCACTCACCCCAGCAAGAGGAAGAGAGAGGCCCTCAGCTGGGGGATCCCTGCCCCAACTCAGCCCCCAACACATTATCTCCCTTCACAGTCTCCATCCTAGTGCCCCAAAGGAAGGGGAAAGGCTTAGGGAGCCCTCCTCTCTTAAATACCATCAACAAAGTTCAATGCACCCACCTACCCACCCCCCAAAAAGAAAAACAAGTCAAAATAAAAATTATTTGAAATCTTGAATCACTGCCTCTGAAATGTTACCAAACAAAATCTGAAATAATTATGTATAACCACTCAACGTACAATGAAAAGAAATGAAGGTGTGGTAATGTAGCTCTAAGCTTCAATTCTAAAGCAAAACACACAATCTATTGCTTTTTCTGATCATCAAGGGGGTATTGAAATAACTACGCAGACAACAAGGTTATTTTTGTAACTGAAATACTCATCTTTACTATTTCTGTAAAATTTTTATTGACAAAAGGTATGTTCATTTACTATAATTCGAATACTCCAAACAAACAAAACTATTATACTAATAATCCCATCTCTGAGGTATGAAGGCAGACACAGAAGGGCTAACCTCCCTTTCCCAATATCACAAAGAATCACTTCAGAATATATAGATTGAGTTTTCAGACTATGTATAAGCTACAATGTCCTAGCCAATTACAGCTTTCAAAATACAAAGAGAGATGAGAAAACTTCAAGAAACATACCTATAAAGTCAGGCATGGTAGCACATGCCTTTAATCCCAGCACTCGGGAGCGGCAGGTAGATCTCTGTGAGTTCAGGACCAGCCTCGTCTACATTGGGAATTACAGGCCAGCTGGGGCTATAAGGAGACTCTGTCTCAAAAAGACCAAAAAGAAAATAAGAAACATACCTGTATTGGAAATATTTTGACAGCCACATATTCATTGAGCAACTGAGCTTTCCAGACACAACCAAATCTTCCTCTTGCTTTTACTTCTAATAACTGCAGTGGCTTCAAACCTAGTAATGGGGAAGGTGGAGGTGGTCCTGGGTCCTACAGATAAATAAGAATAACACCATAAATAAGGAGAAAACTAATTCTGAAATGAGAAAAAAAGTGACTATGATCAAGAATCAACTGACAGAAAGGTAAACACATGACAGTAACTTCAATCTTGTCAGAACTAAATTTCTCAAGCATTACTAAAATTACAAAGGAGGCAACTTGAACTAAAATCCTAACAGCATTTAGCACTGCTGCTACTTGTGCACAGCAAATGCAAAGACCCAACAGCTTTTTGAGCCAGTCACACTAATTTTCCCCACTAAGATTTTCTGTGAACGTTGAAACATTCCTAATAGTCAGGCATGGTGACACAGATCTTTAGTCTCAGCACTTGGGAGGCAGAAAGAAACAGATTTCTGTGAGATCAAAGCTAGCTTGGTCTACACAGCAAGTTCCACGCTACCTGAGGCCACAAGAAGACCCTGTCCTGAAAAACAAAACCAAAAAACATTCCTAATAGTATTTCATTGGTTTCATCCAGTTTATATTTTCTTAAGAGGATAAGGCTTTGAAAAGTACCAGGAAGAACAAAGTATGGCTATGTCTCAAAGAAAATCACAAAATCTACTACTTTATTTAATAGTTGTTTAATACTAAATTTTCTTCATTAATTTCATAAATACAAGTAATTCTGAAAATACTATAGGTAAGTATATGAAATTCCAAAAGCATTTAAAATAAGTATTAGCTTCTAATACAAACTTTTTATTTGTTCCTTCTTATTTTTCAAGATATTAGCAGTTCATCCCTTTCATTATCTTTCCAAACTGATCAGAAATAACAATTGTGCTATGATAAATGGCAAAAAAAAGAGAGAGAGAGGGGGAGGAAAAATAATTATTAGAAGAAAAAACAAATGAAATTACAGAAAAGTAGCACTCATGGAATGGTGGGTAAAAGACAAGATGGCTGCTATAATTAATTTTTAAAGTAGAGTCGATATAAACCATAAATGGGGCATAGAAAGGAAATTTTCCTAAACCACTACAGTGGTGACCCTTCATTACAAGCATTCTATATGTTTATCATCTGCAACTAAAGCAAGATATAAGAAACCTTTGGAAAACTGCTAGAAAAGAAGCAACAGAACTGTCAAGAGCTACCTAGCATGTTCTGTGAGGAGGAACTAAAATGTCTTCAGCAAGAACAGAATCATGATGGCACCAGGTAGCATCTCAGATACTTGGAAACAGCATTTTATCTGAGATCAATGCATTTCACTCAGCCTTTCTTCCCCCTTTTTTTAACATCCTCTTTAATGCCTCAAAGACTTTCAGTGTTCTCTATAGGCATCATTCAGTCACTAGTTTATTCAGGAGTTTAAGTTTATCGAACATTAGAAAGACCCTCAGCAATAGAAACACTGCAAAAATATTAAATGGAAAAAGAATGCAACTTCTTCTAAGGCAGACAATCTTCATAAAATGGTTTGAGAACTCCTGTTTTTAAACAGTAAGAGAGAAGATTTCCTGTGACTCATTCCAAACTCATATTTATTTTAAAATGTCTACAAAAGTCGCTGTTCCCACATAAAAATACAAAAGTTAGGGTCTGGCTAGATGGCTCAGCGGTTAAGAGCACTGACTGCTCTTGCAGAGGACCCAGGTTCAATTCCAAGCACCCACATGGCAGCCATGAATCGCCCTTAACTCCAGTTCCAGAGGAATCCAAAGCCCTCTTCTGACCTCCATGGCACTGCATGACACAGGTGCACTCACATACATGCAGGCAATACACTCATACACATAAAATAAAAACAGTAAATATATAAAGGTTAGTAAAGCCAAAGTGTTTCTGTTTAGCAGAGTGATGGATCAAGAAGGTCAACTACAAATTCTACAGGAAGGACAAGCTCTCAAGTATGACTCGAAGTATGACTCTTGAGGAAGGGGACCAAAATCTCGCTGGATAGTTGCTACGGTAACTATATCCTCCCGGCATCATTTGACTGACCGTCTCCCCCTATAATAAGAGGTACCACTGAACTAAATAGGATGCCTGTGGTGACTGAGGGAAAATGGTGAACACTACTCTTCCAAAGGCAAAGAAAACCATCCAGTCCTCGAGGTCCAAGAACGAGTTGCTTAAGTACATAAAGAAACACCTAAATAGGTTAGTTAGAATTAGTTTTTCATAAAATCTGCAGTTAAGATCTGAAAGCTGAAGAGGGAAAATAAGAAGGCAATACAGCTTTTATATACACTGAACAAAACATCTCCAAAAGCTTATACATTATCTAGTCTAAGTTCAAAAAGGTGCCAACTACAAAGATGAGTTAATCAATGAAACAAGATTTAGATGATTTAATCTATATCTCAAATTAATAATATAACAGTGGTTCAAACTATCATTTTAAAATAATAGTAATTTTAAAATTAGGAAACAGAGTAATTTTTAATGCCTATGTTTCAGGGGAAAAAATGGTTAAATGTTTTCCAGATGCACAGATAAACTTCAATGTTCCAATAGGTTTGTATGACTTTGCTTGGATATTTTTAAATACCTTTATTTCAGGAAGAAATATTGGATCAGGCCCCTAATATTATAATTCTATTCAATATTTTATCATAACTGCCAAAACCAATTATCGAAATTTCTTAAAAATATAAAGAGTTTACATTTAAATAAAAACCGTGGCCAATTTTTAAAAGGTAAGAAAAAGGTCTATAGAGAGATATTTTTATCAAGTATCAAAACTTTTTGAGCTATATTTCTGAATGGAATTTAAAGTAATATTCATAAATACTTCAAGGATTAGATGCAAAAATGAGTAAATTCATAGTCCACCTTACCCATAGTACTAATTACTACACTCTTGCTTTTAAACAAAAATTACTAGAATGAAGTTTTAATGCATTTATAATATCTAAGTTTTTCTTGTTTTATAAGAATATTAGTAATGATTCTCTGTGTTTTAGCATCATTAAAAAAAATTGGACTTGCCAGGCGTGGTGGCGCATGCCCTTGATCCCAGGACTTGGGAGGCAGAGGCAGGCAGATCTCTGTGAGTTCAAGGACAGCCTGGTCTACATAAGTTCCAGGCCAGCTGGGACTACATGGAGACCCTGTCTCAAAAAGACAAAAAGGACTTAACCAAAACACTATGTTTCTGGGAATAAAGACTTACATATTTCATTAAAACATAGGAACCCCTGGGAAGACAAATGCGAACTTCATAATATCAGCGACATTCTGATGTCATCCATAAAGTATGGCTTTGCCCTGCTGCACAAAAAAACTTATAGGAAGCAGACCCAAGGAGTACAAAATTTCTGAGAATTTTCCTAAGCCTCCTAAGTTCTCTTTCAATAGCTATGTCATTTGCTATAAAACTAAGAAGATACACATTGGAAGAGACCCTAATCACATTTCTTCTTAAGACATCAGAAGATATATTGAAAAGATATACTGAAATTGCCATTATTGGAAAAGGCCCCCCCCACCCAAACTGTCTACCCAGTGTCATTACTACAGCCAATGCTGGAATACATTGTTAGAGGTGGAGATTGCAAAGCCACTTGCAATCATTTTGCTTATTTCTGAGTATTCCAATGAAAACATTCTAACTTAAGCACACAGCATTAACCTTCTAGATAGTAAAAGATCATGAAAAGCAACACCTTTGCAGCTAGTTCATTTGTCAGAGATGGCCAAAGATGAAGTGCTGGAAAACACAGATTTCACATTAAAAGATGAGGGCTGGACCAGAAAGTCATCTCTTATTTACATGAGCACATGCGAACATTTAAGCATATAAAAATTACCACTACAAGGTTTCTAAGGCTAATGGATCATTAAGTTGTTTCTTCTAATCAGCTGAAACAGTTGTTTCTACACTCTACCTTTATAGACAATACAATAAATACTGTTAACAATCCTTTAAAACCAAATGTTTTTACTATGTCAAATAAATGATATTTTTATACTGTTAGGAGTTCTATAACATAAATGTATATAAACTATAGAGGATGCACAGTAAAGCAACAATAAAAACAAAACTCTAAGGACAAATGTTTTGTATGCATCCACAAAAAGTTTCACAACCATAAAACAAACATCAATGCATCTTACCTCTATCATTATATGAAAGGCGTGCTTGTGAAGAAAAAACACAGGCAAAAGAAATTACGATCCATATTCAGAATGAAATGAAAAATGACACATCAGTTACAAAAGTGAGGGAAAGAGTGATTTAGCTTTAAAAAGTTGACAGTGATTCAGTGTATATTTTTAAAATAAGGATTAGGAATACTTTCCTTATAAACAGAGGAAAGTAATATAAAAAATGTTTAAAGAAATAAAATCCCTTGAACATTATCTATCAGAAGAGTGGCAGTAAATAAATTTTGACACCAATATAACTCCCAATTACCTGATCCAGTTGGCTTCAAGCCAGCAAACAGACTAAGGTTTAAATATTATTTATTTCTTAAAAAGGTTTTTTTTTTTCTTTAGAGGTGACCTTCTTAAAATTTATTTTATTTTCTATATAAGTGTCTGCATGTATGTATGTACACCATGTGCATGCCTAGTGTCCACGGAGGCCAAAATAAGATCACCTGGAACTGGAGTTACAGGCAGCTGTATGACATTTGAGTGCTGGGAACCAAACAGGGCTCCTCTGGGAAAGCAGCAGATGCTCTTAACCATTGAGCACCTCTCCAGTCCTTGTAGTTTAAGCTGCAAGACTGCAAAAGCAATTTAAAGGAGGAAGACATGAGCTGAACTGGCTTCTGGACACCAGAGGGCAGCATTGCCTTTAATAAACAATAGGACGCAGTCCTGAAGATATGTACAGAAAGCCAGTTTCTTCTGATAGTTTTCATGTGTGTGCACACGAGCCTGTGTAGGTATGTGTGCATGGAGGCCACACAGTCTCGGGTGTCATTCCATTATTTTATTTTAATGTGGATTATGGGGAATCAAATTCATGTCCTTATGCTTCTAAGCACTTTATGAGCTAAGCTCTCTCTCTAGTCCCAGTTTTTTTTTTTTTTGACAGATTTCTTAAGAACCTCTGGAATTTCCTACTTCCAGTGAGTAAACTGCCTCACTCACCTTTCATGGAAGGAAACAGGAGCATATGTGAAACATCCAAAGAAAATGTTTTGTGTGTGTGTGTGTGTGTGTGTGTGTGTGTGCATGCGAGCATGTGAGCGCTCAGTAAAAATAAACTGGGAAGAAAATAAGAACAAGATGATTAGAATTAAAACATGGTGACAAACCAGGCCTGTTGTAAACCTACTTTCCCAGCCACATCAACATGAATAAATCAAAATAAATCTGAGTACAACTGGATTTAGATTATTTAATCTATACTTCAAATTAACAATTTGTCAATTCAAAACATGAATTTAGTATAATTCTAACTTTAAATTTAGGAGGTCTACAACAGTTGAGTAAATGGTGGTGCCGTGAAAAGGAGTATCCAGACATATTTCCTGTATTTTTGATGATAGCACAATACTAGTAAAAAATAAGGTTTTCATTTTTCTAGTCATCACAAAATTGCTGAGTGCCTGAATTTTAAATTAAGTGAAATACTGTTACCATTATTAGGAAGTTTGAATAATTCTTCCAAATAGATGTTTACATTCCCCAGTTGCCACTATTTTTAACCACTAACAAAAAAGAAATGATAATTTCCTTATCTGTACCAGATGTTTAACTAGATTTTTTCTTCCTATGATAATCATTCAGAACTCTTCACTATTCATCAAAAAGGGTAGCTTAATCCTACTATGAAAAACCTCAGCATTCTGGAATAAATTCATCTCTTAAAAGAAATGCATAGCAGCTGATTAACTAGACTATAGTAGCTTCCTAAGGCTCAGTGTTTACTGAGATCTTGTTTAAATAGAAGCACTTCCAGAGATAGATACCAGAGCAAGTAGACGCTACCCCTAATCTTAAAGTACTGTGCCTGCTCAGTAAACTTCATTAATAAACATTAGAATAACCGATAAAATAGCCACAACAAAAATGAGTGAAGAACACGTCTCACTGTGATAAAATAAGAAGGGAAAATGACAGAAACAAGCAAACAAAAAATACACAAATACACACGAACAGTTTTTTGGTTGATTTTGAAATATATCTTTGTTGGGTATAGTTCTCAAATGAACATTAGAATAAGCAAAAAAAAAAAAAAACTTAAACGAGAGAAACCAAAAACAAGTCACAATGTTACAACACATGCAGTTCAAAAAAACAAAATAGTCTCCTGATGTGCCTGTGTCAGAAGTGCCTACCAACCGTGAAAAGTATACTATACCATTCACCACTCATAAGAAGCTTCTTTTTGTAACACACGGAGACTATTACAGAGTTCCATAACTTGTCACAAATAATATATGTCTGAGAGATGCCCAGCCTAAGTAACACATCTACATAGGGACATAGCAGAACAAGCAGAAAGAATACTAATACATCCCCCAACTCACCAGTAAAACGTCCTCATGCAACAGAATGCAATGCACACACAAGACCATAACGCCAAGTTTTAGAGAACAAGAGACTGCAGAGTGTGTGTCCCTGGATAGGTGACACATATGCACAAGAGCCATAAAACAGACAAAAACTCAGCATAGAAAAATGGAAATGGGCAGCAGGTCCCAACTCTAGCTGAGGAACTATTGGCAACTGATTACTGCTGGGTGAGGGAGAGTAGATCTTCTTTAAGGGAGTGACTCCAGATAGGCTGACTAGATGCCAGTGAATGAACTTGCACCAAGGGACCTCTGAGTACAAATGCTTGACTGGGTAACACAACATATGTCAGAATGCATTAAATTTGGTGGGGGGAAAATAGGGGCTGCAGATGGGTGGGAGGGGGGGTCTAAATTTTATTAAGATCTATTATAGGGGCTGGAGAGATGGCTCAGTGGTTAAGAACACTCACTGACTGCTTTTACAGAGGACCCAGGTTTGATTCCCAGCACCCACATGGCAGCTATGAACCATCCTTAACTCCAGTTCCAGGGAAATCCGAAGCCCTCTTCTGACCTCCATGGCACTGCACAACACAGGTGCACTCACATACATGCAGGCAATATACTCATACACACAAAATAAAAATAATAAACAAAAAATATTTTTTAAAAAAGATTATATAAAATGCAGAAAATTCCATAAAAAATGTTTAAAACAAAACAAATTCACTGACACATACAAACAGATAAAAGATAACCAAACAAAATGGTCTAGATTCACAAAATGGACAAAGTAGCCCTGAGCACTAAGCACTCTAATTGTAAGTGAAAATCAAATCAGCACACTAATGTCAAGTAACTGGGTTTTCAGATTAGAAAGAGACTTGCTTATCAAGTAGGAATAAAATTACTGCGAACATCAGTAAAGAATAAAGAAGACTTCATTCACCCATTCATTTATTCACTCATTCCAAAAAGCTTACTGAACACATTGTTTGTGTCAAGCTGTAACTACCCTGGCTCTCATGAAGCTCACAGACAGCAGAAAGACTAGTCAGTAATTTGCACCCATAAGTGCATAATTATAAACTATAAATAATAAAAAGGAATTTACTGCCTTGAATATCTATAAAGAGAGATCTGACTGATACTGGCTGACTAAATAGGAAGATGTTTCCCTGCGGAGAGTTACCCTGAAAAAAATGAAGTAGAGGAAGACTGATGAAGTGAAAAAATTGTATTGGGACACATTCAAGATTTCAGACTTACACTACCAGGTAGACAAGTGTCCCATTTACTGAAAACCAGGTTTGGGAGAGACAAGCATTATCACTAATGGGATGTACTTAGGGGCATGTAAATGGAGCTAGTCAGTAGACACTTAGGTATGTGGATCTGAAATACCAAGAAATTCTTCTAGAAATATGAACTTTTATGTACTTTACATACATATATACATAACATGTACTATAAGCTTTAATACTTAACCCATTCATATATAATACATATTTATATGTGTACTTAGTTAGGCAGATAAGTAACCTTCCTTTTTTTGAAACAACAGCCAAAACCCTCTTGGGATTATGAAGTATCTGTAGTATATGAAAACTGACAAATTCTGAATCTGTCTCCTCTTAGTCATCGAATTATGCATTGTAAGAAAAGTCACAATTGTTCATTTTTTAGAAGACTATCACCAAGCAGAAGAAAAATAAATCTAGAAAGAAGATAGTATATGTCAGAACAAATGTTTCTGAGCTACAAAAGGCCAGACATATATTAGTAGATTGAATAATATTGATACTGTCAAATGTTCAGTCATGAGTACATTAATTAGATCTCAAGATTCCTTTATGATATAATTCCTAAGGTTTTTTTTTTTATCATCTTACTCCTCCTGAACACAAAGAAAGACCAATATGGATAAAATAAGGACTTTGAACAGGGTTGCCAGCATGGGCTTCAAAGTCTAAAAGAGAAGAAGGCATGCCCATTCTCCTTTTAGTTGCTGCTCAAAAGTATGAAGATTGTGACTAGCTATAGAAGAATCTTTACTTTTATTTATTTTAACATTTGCAATATTTAGGTGAAGACGCAAAAAAGAAAATGATCATATTACACAGGAGTAAACGTGGTATGGCAGGAAAAAAAAAAAAACCTCTATCAATGCAAAGTATTGGACTCTGGTCAATTTATTATCATTTAGTTTTTTATGGAACCCCCTCTCACCAACAACTACTAAATGAAATAGGCTATTCAATCACTGGACAATAATCCCTGGAATTAAATGCCTAGCACTGCTACTCAAGAGGAGGCTCTCAGTCAGTCACTTCCTCTGTGAGTGCTCCAATTTTCTTATCTATAAAAACAGACTTGATATAACAGGTATTTCAAACTATTCTATCAGCAGCAGTTTCGATGAAAATAATCCCTTTTGAGTTCAATGCTGAAGCTGTGTCTGTAAGGACAGTAATAAGGTAACAGTTACTGAGGACTTTAACACTATCCAAAATTTCAGGTGCAGTTCTTCTACCAATCACGTGAGAAGTTGATCTGACATTTTTCCCTTTCCTCCTCTGGCTTCTCCCTTCACACTCTTTAGCCTTCATTTCCAAGCTCCAAAGTCAATTAAGTAATCAGCCCGCCTGTTTTCACCTTACTTGT